TCTATGTGCAAGATGTAATATGCAAAGTTATTAGGCATTAGCAGAATATTCAGAGAGAAGTTTAATACCAGCTGAACTCAGCAGCATCTAGAAGTGTCCTGCTCTCCAAACAGTTTCTTGGTGTAGCGGACTGAAGAAAAGCCTACCTCTAGGCCAATGAACAGAATTACAGTTACATGACAAATGAGGAAACTAAAGACAACTTCACTCTAAGTATCTCTGCTTCATTAGCACTGCTGTAAAAATGAGAACAACTGATGAACACCTCTAAGACAAGCAGGATATAGCTTACTGCTAATCATGAAATACAGTTTCCTGAAAGAACTAACCTACTTCCACATCAGGAAGGTAGACAGACCAGGAACAAAGCAATAGGATAGAAAAAGGATAACTAAGGTGAATAAAAAAGGGTAAAAAACACACAGCATACCAGCCATTTATATGAAGAACTATAGGAGCAATCTACCCATCTGTGAGCTTGGGTGATACACTTAAGCACTTTCATGTGGATATTTTTTCCATCCAGTTTTCTTGGCCAAATTAAAAAGCTCAACATAGAAATCAGTAGGGAAAAAAAAAAAAAAAAAAAAATCAACAATCTCTTCACCAAAATAATCCAGTTCAACATGGCAAATGATCATACAGCCTAGAGTATCACTAAGCCTTTCCAAATCCCTATGAGATGGTTCCTGCAACATGATTAAGAATGCACAAACCCAGACACAACACCAAGAAAAGAAAATGACACATTTTCAAACCATCAATTCCCAAAGGACATGCAAAAATGCAAAGTAAAAGCAGGTCAACTGTAAGAATAGACATTTTTATCCAGCACACCAACTGTATTTACAGAGAAGAGCATCAAGTTCAGTGAGTGCTACGTGAGGAATTTTGGTAGTTGGCAAATAGATACTTAACCACTGCACAGGACTTACGCAGCTTCATTTCAGGTCTTCTAAAGGAGTTCAGACGCACTGCAAGCCCCAGTGCCATGCTGCACATTGATTCCAACCAACCACAAACATCTCAAAGCAGCTTTGTTTTACTTAAGGATGCCTGTCCACGCATACAACTTAAGAAATGTACCTCAGCTTGCAAAATCTGGTGACATTACATGTCAAGGAAGAGAGACTAAAGAATGGTCTCACAGTTTATCTAAATCAGAAGCATAATTAACTTTAGAGGTGATTTTTTTTTTAACGTACGCACAAACATAAAAATCAGAATAGCACAAATCAGTTTTTTTTTTTACCATATTTGCTTCTACTACTACTATAATACACTTTCAAGGGGAAGCAATAGAGAAACAAAGTTCACTATTATCTGCTTTCTTATACATACAGACTTAATGCACTTTATATTTACAAATCCATCTCCAACTGACATCAATGGAAACTGTACGGAAAACAGAAACAAAAGTTGAACAAGTTTTCTTCTCAGATCTAATACATAAACAGCACATTCATGCAGATATATGTACACGTGAAAAGGTGATACATTTCCTACAGTGATGGAATCTATTAAAAATATTTTAAATTTTGTAATGTAACACTCAAAACTACCAGGAAAAGTTTTCAGATGTTATTTAATCATAAGTTTGTTACACTCTTATTATTGATCCACCCTTCTTGAAAGAAACAACTTATTGTCTTTGTTGTCATTACTTAAAGTACGTTTGATGCTATGCAACTCCAAAAATCTACTAGCACTTAACCTCACAGGAGAACCCAGGACTAGATGAGTATTGACTAAGCATATAGTCATATAGACTACTTCCTTGATTAAATTTAAATAAACATATTGATCCAAAAGATGAAAATCATCTGATTCAGAGAAGACTCCAAATAAAATCAGACTATTTTATCATGCACAGATTGTTTTATATTGTTTCAGTTAAATCATCCTGTCCTTTAATATTTACTTCCCTTCTCATCCTGTACATTTTCTCCTGTTTCATTATATCAAAGTACAGAGTCACCTACTAAGCACCACTCATTTTCAAAACTTTTCCTAACAAAATATAGAGTGAAGTAACATTAAAAAAAAAAAAACAAAACAAAAAACCCCACAAAAAAGACTTTTTGGAAATAGAAGAGCATCTCTAATCCTGATCACAGCTAAACAGATATCCATTAAATTGTAGTTGAACTAGATATGCAGAGAAGTCTTAACAGTATCAAGAAGTTACGTATCTCCTACTTGCAATTTTCAAAGCGCTGGGTAGTAAATGTGAGCAGAAGCAAGAAAGAAAATACTGTTTCTCAACTGATAAGAACTTAGGAATGTAATAAAGAGCTAAATCTAAGAAAAATGGCACACTTGCTGATAGAGCAGCCAGACTCGTTTTACAAAAACTAATTAAAGGTGCTCAATTGAGTTGAAGTGCACAGAAGGTCAGGGCAACAAATGGTACTTTCAGTGTACGCTTTTACAGAGAGGGATAGTTTCTACAACTTCCAGTATAACACTGCAATTTAGAAAGACAACTTTTTTCTTTTTTTTTTTTTTTTTTTTTAATAACTCTCAAAAATATCCTAATGTTAAAAGCAAGGAAATCTAATCTTTTATGAACAACACGGGAACTATTTAAAGAAAGTTACACGCATTTCTCTGTAAGAAGGGAAATAAATAGAAAGGCAAGAAAAAGATCCATTATAAAAAGAGTCAAATACAGCAAATTCTCAAAATACAAAGAGTTAGTAGAATTGAAGGATCATCCTTCAGAGAATGAAAATTCACTCCTAGTGAAGCCAGAAGAGAGGAAGTATATGACAAGTAAAATGCAGGCTGCAAATTAGTAAGGCAGTAAGGAAATCAGAAGACCAGACTGCAAAGCATACAAAAACAAATAGGAGTTAAGCCTACTACTATCTCAGAACTTTCAGAGGAATCATTGGATTTGTTGGAGCTAGGATTGAATAAAAATCTTGAAAACGATAAGGGCATCACAGACAATCTGAGTGATCTCGTCATCAGTCCTTGCCACAGAAAATGTTGGAAAAACATGCACCCAACATTTCTGATAAAAAGGAACACACTCCTTCAAACCGAAAAATCAAAAACAGGAGAGCAAACAATAAACTGAAAGCCGTAAATGACAAGGGATGTGTTCAGCCCTACTCACATCGATAGGTGTTTTATCACTGATTTTCACCAATACAGACCTTTTCTTCAGAACAGAACAGCAACAGACCAACAGTTCTAAAGCACAAAAAGGCTGAGTTGGGCATCACAGCAGCCTAATCAGTGTACAACAGCAGTTAAAAGAACAAAATAAGTTGAAAGAATTAGATAGGGACAACAGAAAAGATGATACTTTTAATAATAATTTAATAATAATTTTCAGGATTATCTACTTGCTTAGAATTTCTACTCTAAATCACTGACACTGGCATTTGGCAACAGTTTTCAAAAAAGACCACAGAAAAAAACTTAAAAAGATGGAAAGAACCAAAGTTAACTTTGTAAAGGGATATATAAAAGAGGACACTGTGGAGCTATACAGAAAACTATGTGATACAGGAAAATAGGATGCTCTTCAACTTTCTCACATTGTCAGCAAACAGCCAATCAGAGCAATAAAAATATGTCAAGTCAAATGTAAAAGAATTAAACATTGTACTGTGAAGACCACGAAACTGTGTAACTAATTCACAAAGGCATCTCCCAAGGTGGGGTTTGTGATCATAAACAAACAGTTCATGATAATAGCAAGGAATATTCTCTGGTGAATTTTTTCACCGTTTTTTGTATGGTTAGTTGTTTTTTGTTTAGTATGTGTGATTGACTGTTTAGAGGCACAGTACTCATTGCTCAGTATTAATAAATCTGTGATGACCTTGCCATAGGGATACAGAAAAATCTTCATATCCTTTCTTAAAGATCCATTACAAGGACTTCCTCTTCTTTCCTCAGAGGTTAATATAATAAGATGCAAGTGCCCTAGGTAATTCCCAGCCTTCTAGATACAGAATATAAAATACTAGTATTTTAATTTCTTGTTTATTTCCATACAAAGAAATTAGTGATGTGACAGGACACACAAGTCTCCACAGAAACTCATTTAATGGTATGTGCCTTCCCTTTTCTCTTGCCCTGGTGGAGGAGACTTGAGGTTGGAGGGGAGTAAAGGACAGTAAGACGAAGTATGGACCATGGCTGTAGCAAGGACAATGACAGCTAATAGGTAGGGCTGCTTCAAGCATATGTCCAAACTGCAATGAGTTATCTGTTCTGTGCTCTATCCTACAACTGTCATGCAGGTGGTCAGTAGCTCAGAAATCTACTAGCCTTGGGCACTGGGCATACTGGGTTCCAATCAAGAATTAAAACAGAAGCACTACTCTATCCGTGTATGAAATACGTGACTTTTAAATTATAGGACAGGGCTGTCTGAGGAGTCTCTTGCGTAATTCATAACACTTCTGAACTTCATATATAAATCAAATACAAGTCTATTATTTACACTTTGTTGAGCACAGACTCCCCCCACAACTTTTGGTGAAGAGTGCATGAACAAACTCTCTGGAGTGTTGCAGATACGCTCTTCATAATACTCATTCATACACTCAAGTAATTTCAACATAGTATCATTCAACAAGTATTTCTATGAAAGGTTTCTGCTCATGTCTGTCAAAAAAATACAGAGTACAGTAAAAATCACAAAATGAGCTACTACTTGTGTTTCTTTTTTTTTTTTTTTTTTTTTTTTTCCCCTTGGCTTTCCTAATCTATACAACTCATGGGCATGCTGTTGACAAATCTGTCTGACTGATATTATAGAAAAGGGACTACAGATTCCAGAATGTTCCCAAACATCATATGAGGCTCCAAAAGCAGAAGACTAATATTCACTAATACCGACAAGTTTTAAAATGCAAGCAATCCCAGTACAAGTGAAATGCAGAATTATTAAGTGCAACACAAGAACTGACGTTATCAAAAAAAACACACGTCACTCTAAATACACAGCTTTAAAAATAGCCAAAACCTTGACTTACTGTGGCTGTGCCGGAGACAGTTTGTGCATTTGTGTCAGCTGCACTCTGTTCAGAGTGTGTCTGAGCAGGAGGGTACATGTTTAATGTGTGCTCTGGAACAGTGGTTTGGCCTGTGTAGTCTGGAGCTGGATGAGGATGTGGGGCTGTGTATTCTGCAGGTATACCGTTCTGAGGAGGAGCAAACTGGGCTGAGGCATAAGGCTGTGCCATTGTGTCAGGAGGTGCTGTAGCTTCCTGATTACCCTGTGAAGATCAAAGGGGAAAAAAAAAAGGAAGAAATGTGTCATGAGATAAAATAGTTTAGCAAGCAAGCAAGCATTGCTGGCCTGAAAAGGGCACAACACTAGTTTTCCTGAGAGTATTTCTTATCTGAATTGAATCCACTTTCCTAACACTATTAAATCTTATTACAGTTAATATCTGCTGTTCTCTACAGACTGTTCCTTAACTGCAAAATGCCAGAGAAATCTTACCTCAACTAAAGTCTCAACTCAAACAAGAAAGATGGACAAAACTTAGTTCATTTCGTATGTTTCCGAGTGCAACCGCCAATACAGAGCTCTGGTAAAGTTACCCCATAGCCTGGGATCCATTCTGACTTACCACCTACAGAAGTCAATACATGCTCCCTGCACTCTGAGCAGAACTGAGATGTATTTTGTTAACACACCTGAAAATATTTACGTTAAGTAATGCTGTACACAGTATTCAGAGGTGCAACATACTGAAAAACTGCAAACCGCAAATGCAAAAACAATCAGATTCAATCCCAATATCAAGTATTTGAATCTAAAAAATAAATCAACTGGAAATCACCATTTAACATAGATTTTATTTTTTTTTTAATGTTATTGGCTCTCAAAAGAAATAGACATAAGAACTTACAAGGTTATATATACTTGAAGACCATAGTAATTCATCTCCATATTACACTATGCCTGTAAAAATAAAATTAAAGATCTCATCTCTACATAACTAGATCCATCCTTATGCTTGATACAAAAGTGAAAAGTCAAGCATGCTTATTTGTGAGATATTTGGTATCATAGAATAATTTATGTTTTAAAAGACCACAATGATCATCAAATCCAACATTAACCTAGCACTGGCAAGCCTACCACTAAACAGTGTCCCTAAGCATCACACCTAGACATCTTTTAAATACCTCTATGGATGGTCACTCAACTACTTCTCTGGGCAATCTGTTTTAATGCTACATAACACTGAGAATTTTTCCTAATACTCAACCTAAACCTCTCCTGGCACAATTTGAGGCCATTTCCTCTCATCCCATCACAGTTCCTTTGGAGAATAGACTAAACTCCACCACGATACAGTCTCCTCAGTACAGTACTCCTCTACAATAGCTGTAGAGAGCAATAAGGACTCAACTGAGCCTCCTTTTCTCCAGGCTAAATAATCCCAGCTTCCCTACAGCTGCTTGTAGTAAAACTTGTGGTCCAGCCCTTTTACAAGCTTTACTGCCCTTCATTGGGCATAATTCAGCACCACGATGCTTTCTTGTTGTGATAGACCCAAAGCTGAACACAGTATTTGCGGGGCAGCCTCACGAGAGCCAAGAACAAGGGGTTAATCACTGGCATGCTCTGCTCAACCCAAGTTGTAATGATACTATGGAAGAAAACATGTAACACAATCCTTCCGGTATAAACTATGTCCAAGCAACGATGTTACAGATGACATTGCACTACAGGCAGATAATACAGGGACTATGGACTTCAAAACTTAGATGGGCTAACTGGCTTAAAAGATTAAATTATATCCCTCTAAATATTAATTATAAAAAATAGTATTTTTTATAATTATAAAAAATAGTAAGCATGCAATTTGTTTTCAAAACATTTTTTTCCTTTTCCCACCAAAGCATGCAGAAGTACTGTAACAATTCAGCTTACTTCTACCCATCTCGATTTCCTAATTTCGGAATAGGCTAGATGAAAAAAAGTCATTCTTTTCACACCTAAGGTCATTTCCAGCCAATTTCAGCTACCTCAGACATTGGTGACCTGACCTCAACTGGGCCTAAACTCAGGAACTTTTAAAAACTTGCAAAATCACATTTCAGGAACAAAGGTTGGTACAAAGTACACTTGAAAGAGAAGACTACATTTTGCTTTGTAAAAGGCATTCACTGTGTCCTAGAAAAGGAAGACTTTATATTAGCAATCAAAACCTCCTCCATTTTAATCTGATCTTTGGTACTTTTTTACTGCATGGCCTGTGCAAGTAGTATACCTTGCTCCATTCACAATCTTTAAAGTGAAAACAGTTTTATTTACATACTTCACTTGGTTAAGTCAGTAAGTTTTATTACTATAAAATTACAATGTTTCCAAGGTTATTATTACACTGCAGCTTGCCTGTTAAAAATTTTAAGGGAGGTTTAAAACTTCCAAATGCATATTTATGTTCTCTTGCACCACAATGGAAAGACTCCTTTCTTATCTCCTACTTCACCTCAAAATCCAGATTAAAAACAGCAACGAATAGATTCCACCAGAGACTTTTACTAAATGTTAAATAAATAGTTGTAAAACTTTAGGGAGGGCAGGGGAGCTTAGATTTTTTTTTTTTTTCTTAATCAACTGTTTTATGGTTGATGTCAGCAAATGGTAAGAACGAACTTCTGCCTGTATAAGCATTTTTCACCATGCTGGCTTTGAAGCTCAGTAACTGGCACTGATGGTCTTTAGGCTACTTGTTTATCTTAGATACTAAACATGGCATTAGAGTCAGCAGCTGTTAAAAAAGAGCAATCATGATAACAAAGGGACCAACAGATATGTCCAGGTGCATTTGATCTACATGTTTTTGTACTACTCTGAGTCCTAAACCAGATGTTGCAAGACCACCCACTGTTTCTCATTAACATTGATAACAGCTCTATGAGACCCTGATTAATATTCAAAGCATTCACATTTAGTGCTAATTACAGCTAATATTTAATTAAGAGGGTTGAGATTTTATATGATTTCTCACCAGCAACTCCAAACAATTCACAATTTAGATTTACCATAGAATGGCAAACTGCATGGGAAATTCTGACATACACCATGGAGGCTCTTCTACCTCATTCACTGGATGCACTACGCTGAGATCTGAATTTCTTAATAGTCGGGACTATTCTTCAATAAATGGGAATTGAAGAGTCAGGCATGTCTTGGTTGGTTCAGATTTTTTTGGTTGTTTGCTGTTTTTTGGGGGGTTTATACATATACATATATATACACACACACACACATCCCTTCTATAGATTCAGGAATTTGCAGTCTTTCCATTAGAAGAAAACGAAAATGCTTAGAGTAGAACGCTAGCATGCAAAGTTATCATTCCAAACAGTATGTTCATTAAATATACTTGGAGGAAAAAAAAAGGAAGAAAACCGTGCTTATTCTACATAAGGTTAAAAAATATGACAATAAATTTGAGTTCTTAGTCTCTTAAAAGCTACAGAACTTCTGCAGCCTTCAAAATCTGTGTATTTTTGAATCATAATGAATTCAGTAGGCACAATATTACAAAGTAGTATGAAAGCACACGAGTATAAACATTCTTTACTATTTATGTAGGCATCACACCAGTGCTTGCTGTTTAGATTATGAATTTACATTAAGAACAATACCGTGCAAACTAACAATTGTAACATTTGGTTGACAGAAATTCCAGGTGACACAAAACTGTTACATTTGTATGGATCCTAATTAATCAAAATTCTTTAAATAGTCACCTAAAATGGAATGTCACTGTGTCCTTTAAAATGAGTGAACTAAAATGAATAAAGGAAATAGTCCATCTTATTCACTAAACTGAGAATATGAAATTGCCTTGAAAGCAACAGGAAATATTGATCCTTACTTAGCCTTGTATGCCTCAGGTATTAGGGCAACCTCTAAACTGTGGATGACAGTACACAGATGTTGCTTAATACAACCTAGACATTAGAGGCTAAACAGAAGTTGTCGTTTTGGACTCAATTCCAAGTACCTTTAAGTTTAAATGACCCTTTAATGCTCGCTTTGCGCATGGTTTTTAATAAAGTAGTTGCTGGCAACAGAAAGAAGAACAAAGGATGGCAGACAGTCAGGCTCAGTTAAATGTTCTGGCCCGAGGTTTAATGAAAACCACATTTCAACTGAAAAATATGCTTTACGTGGCAGTGTATAAAACCAGCTTTATTGCTTTCTGGTTAAATGCTGAACTGTAAAGAACAAAACAAGAAAGCATTCCAACGATATAGGTAAGTGAAATCAATCCTATTGAATATATATTATTCCACTTGAAGAAAAGCTTAGAATCTGAAATATTCCTAGTACCTCAGATCTTAACCTGTCATTTTAGCATCTTCAGCTCTGAAAGGATTTCATAATTAACAAACCCATGAAGTGTCAAAACATAATAAAGCAAGCTTGTTATGTTTGTATACAAAAGACAGAGTACAGAAAATATTATGCAGTGTTCCTTTTTAAAAACATATTTGCAGCACAAAAAATGTATTTATTCAATGAAAACCATTCTGCTTGCTTGCATTTTAAAGTCTAACTAACTGTTTATTGTTTGTTTTACTCTATTTTCTGTTTGGAGCCTCCTGTTTCTTTGGCAAGAGATATTTTACATTTAGAGGAAGCCTCTCATACTGTAGTTAAATGAGCCAAACTGCATCATATCCTTAGGGCATGGAAACAAAGAAGAAAAATGCAACATTACTCTGTAAACCTGCTGCTTATACGAAAGGCTCTGTCAGATATATCAAGCACAGCAGAGACACAATCACCGCTGCAGTTTGCCTTCTCTCAGAGCAAATGAAGCCACAAAACATGTATTAGAAGCCTTACATGCAGTGGCGCAGCTGGTTAAAGGAAATGCCTTGATCTGACTGAAAAACAAGAGTTTCAAGTGAAAATAAAAGTGAAAATACCTGCTGTACCATCCCGCTCCCTTTTTCCTCCATAAACTTAGCCAGCTGCTCTAGTCCCAGGCCATACAGCATCTGCCCAAAGCAAGCATCAATTACGGATGAGGGCGTGTGAGCAATGTAATGTGTGTAAGAGTGTGGATGATAGGGGTGTTCGAGGAGGGGGAGCTAATCCAGGGTTTACTGACCTCCCTCTCAACATCTGACTGCTCCCAAAACCTAATCCAGATGGGGCTCTTTCAGCTTGCTGGGCCTCTCCCCATCAATCACAGCAGGCCACTCCTCTGTCTCCTGCTACTAGTTACAGAGT